CCAAGTAAATGATAAATTACACATTTTTTTTCCAAAAACGTCTGTATTGAATGAATCCAGCTGCTGCAGCTTAAACAAGCTGTCAGAACATTTTAGTCGACTATCTGGTAATGTATAACGTTAACATGTGATCCTCCATCTTGGTCTGGACATTCATTTTAAGTGACACATTTAATAAAACAGATGGAATAAAAGCAGCACACTTGCGTCCACACACAACAACGATGCTAAGTGTAGTTACAAACAAGAAGAGGTCCAGGTTTACTATTTATTATTTCTGTCTAGGCTTCTGCTCTGGGAACATCTAAAGTCAGGCAGTGCAGGACTCCAACGAAGTGTCACTGCCAGCTGAAGGAAGCCAAGAAGTCCAGTAAACACAGCTCTTTGGTTATGTGACAGCTCAAACTTCAGGAGATGTGTACTGATGATGTTTCAGATCCTTGCAAATGGTTTTATGTGGGTTGGACTTTACGCAGGTAATGTGTCGACAAAGAATTTATGGATGTGTGTTTGCTATCTACGACAGAGATAATTTGATAATAATGATGGTTTTCATGACTTATTGGTCAAGCGACTGAGCTGAAACAGAAGCTGGTGGAGTTCAGAGGTGACAGATCTGAGCTGAGCCTACCATCAGGTTGAAGATCAAGGTGGAGTCGACAGTGATGGCTTTGAGCAGCATCTGGTTGTCGGTGTCCTTGGCTTTGTACCGTAGGCTGTACAGCTCCTTGTTGCTGCTCCAGTCAGCAGGAAGGAGCTCCGACTTCTTATCACTGCTGCGAGGCTGCAGGACGGAAGAGGAAGGACGAAGCCAGAATTAATTCTGAGTAATAATACAAAATGTAATCAGCACATAAATCATGATGTGTTGTTGCAAAGTCCCCTTAAATTTGAGATTAAAGAAGCAAAGCTTCACATTTACCAGCTGCAGCATTAAAGTGAATAACACAATAATGCATCAATAATTACAGTCCAATAATAAAACAAACTACACATTACTCCAGCATAGTGAGTACTTTTACTTTTGGTACTTTGAGCACATTTTGATTTACATTACTTTTGCACTTTTACTTATGTACACTTCAAATACAGGATTTCAACTTGAGAAAAAAGTGTTTCCAAACTGAGTCCCTTTCAGTTCAGTCACACTGTGAGCAGCTCTGCAGTGCTCCAGTGTGACTGGATTAGCCTGCTAAAGATGACATGACAGTTTTTAGAGCTCGTCAGACCTCCATTTTAAAACAGCTTCTGCTTGATTCCGCAGTAAACACGACAGCTCTAATGAGCAAAGCTAAAACATGTCTGGCAGACGGTCACAGTTTGATGGATAATGTCAGACACACACAGGAGGGGATGCTCCTGCAGGACGCTAATGCTAAGCTAAACGCAGCAAGCAGCAACTTACCCAGTGCAGATGTCCGTTGGAAAAAACGGCAGTTTAAGGTCTCATTAAGCAGCACGGACCAAAACATCTTAAATAACAGAGACAAATGGTTGGTCTGACCAACTAAGAGGCGCTCTTTGATTCGGTTTAGAATTTATTGAAAAAGCTGGACGTATTTAGTTAAAAATCAGAATCAGCTTCTGTTTGACTATCTTCATACGAATTCGAGCACATTCCGTTAGTTTGGATTCACAGATGGTAAACATAGAAACTCCCTAAAATAATGACCTGAATACTGCGATTCTGACTCATGACTAAGTTGTTGTTGAACTGCTGGGTTGCTGATTGTATTAGACATGACCTGCATCAGTTACAGCGCTAACACAACGCTAGCTAGTTCATCTCACCTCGTCTCCAGTTCCGACACACCTGTATCCGCTCTTTATCATCTCCCAGTGGACGAAACACACCACGGCGTCCTGCGGACAGCTGATGCTGTCTTTGACGCAGGTGTACAACACCTCTAAACCTGCCATGTTTCTTCAATCCACCGACATCAACTCAGTTTCAAGCCAAGAAATGAAAACGAAAGTCCTGACAGAAGCTCTACGGCGTCAAGTTGCCGCCAACAGCAGCCACTTCCTGTCTACAAATTTCAGCATAAAAGCACCGCAGTACAGCTACGATTCAGGTTGAATTCTAAGCACACGATTACAACATTTCTGCGATTAAAACACGCTTAAACTTAGGATGCACATTTCTTTTTAAGAACATTATACAGATAAAAGTCAGTTTTAGGCAGCTCTGTACAATTACTAATCCAACTCTAACACTAACATGAATTAAATAATAATGGAGCAACAACAGAAATAATAATAATGTTTGATATGACTTGGATACTTCTAAATATCTGGTACATTATTCGAGCATGTTTCATGAAAAAAAAAAAATTCTCCTAAATTTCTCTCAAGAATTTTCAGTGTACTATCAATGTATCTACAACTGAACTACCACAACCCTCATTGTAAGATAGCACAGTGCAAATCTAAGACACAAATAAAGCAATCCTTTTATTATTAATAAATTAATGTAATACTTTTATTTAAAAGAACTAAGATAGAAAAAATAACAAAAAACTATTGAATGAACAGTATACATTTGAAGCATATTATCAGCAAACAATATAGATAAATATTCAAGTCCATACTGATCTGAAAATTGAAAGAATTATTATTGTTGTTGTTGTTGTTGTTGTTGTTGTTGTTGTTGTTCGTACCACCACTAATGATAAAAAATTTTATTTTTTGTTATTATTGGTATTCTAGTGATGATGTAAATCATGCAAGTCATGACGCTACTTCAAGCCTTGATCCTTAAATCAGGATTTTTGATGTACAAAAGTAGCTACGGAAGTATTAAACTCTACAGTTAAATCCGAATTTTTTATTTTATTTTATAATGTTTTTAGGCAGGTGATGCCATTGACATGATTTAAGTTTTTATAAAGATCGGTCTGATTTCAACTATATTTTATAAAGTCTGGCTGTTTGATCTAAAAACACGGGACCGTTTGTTCCCGATAGGTGCCAACAGCTTCAGACTAAATCAGTTTTTCACCACTCTTTAATTTTGTTTTAATAAAAAGACAACCTCTTGAGAGGAAAACCAATAGTTTATTATCTCTAGCTTTACACATCGGTTTTGTCGGTTTTGTTTTGATCCAACACAGTAAGAGTCTCCGGGTGAAAACATGTACAGAATTGCAGAATTGCATGTTCCGTTTAGCAAGACAACTGTCCGAGAATGTTTCAAATTTTAAAACAATTTTCTATTTATAGAAGCCAAAAAGACGTATGATGCTGTTTGTACTATTCCAAATATTTATATTAGTTCATGAAATAGAAAGAAAAAATATGTAAAGCTATTGTTCGTTGTAATAGCTTCAAATGATTGCATGTAAATTATATATATGTTGATGTGTATATAATTTAATGTAGTTTTTATTTTTATTCATTGTTTCTTTTATTTATTTTTGTGTCGTACGCTTCAGATTGGGGTTCCGGGTTTTCTCACTACCGACAGACTTCATTTCCCGTCGTGCCCCTCGCAGGGCGGACAGCGCTTCCTTGTCAAGATGGCGGCTCCCTTGACTCTGCTGTTGATTGTAGCCGTCACAATTCGTGCGGCTCTGTTCAGATCCAGCTTGGCGGAGCTGATTGCAGAGAGGGTGGAGGTGGTGTCTCCGATAACCGCCTGGAAGAGAGGTAAGTGGGGCTTTTTGCGGCGGCTCAGAGCCCGGTTTTGTCGCTGAAACGCCGCTCCGGTTCCCTCCGGCTGCCTCATCTCGGCGCTGTTATCCGGTAGCTGAAGGGAGTCGATAACGTCAAAAACCGGTTTAGCTGCAAAAATCTAAACGCTTTAGAAACCCCACGGACGTTTTATTGTAAAGTCCTTTAACCGCATGTAGTGATTTCTGTAGGTGAAGGTTTAAATTAGAGTTGACTCGTGCTTCTTTGTTGTTCCTGTGTTTGGATTCTCTGGAATCAACAAGAGACAAACACACAGTCAGCAGCAGCAGAGTCCCACTGTGCAATATCTTCTAAATGTCCAGTGTTTCCAGATCCAATCACCTCTCAGTAATTGTATTATTTCTAAGTTGACAAATAGAGTGTAAATACTCTATTCTATATATATGGAGGAGTGAGAGTGTCAAATTACAAAAATAAGTCAATAAAAGAATGAAAAAAAATCAATGTGGAAATAAAAAGAAGAATAAATACTTTAAAAAAAAATAATGATGTGGAGATTCAAGTACCTGGGACTGCTCATCTCTGAGGATCTGTCATGGTCCAGACACATAGACAGCCAGGTGAAGAAGGTGAAGCAGTGCCTGTATCACCTCAGACCTGAAAAAAAAAAAGAGAGTCAAAGCAATGGACAGTGATACAGGAAGATCTGTGACCAACTGGAATCATCAAAGACAGTTGCAGGAGTGACCAGGAGATATAGAAAGAGCCATAGTACCACTCAGCGGATATGCACTGATCGTCCTTCGAAAGTGACAGCTGAGGAAATTCAGAGTCTCTGAAGCTCCTGAGGATGTTTAACCGTGGAGCGGTGAAGAGCTCTGACTGGGAACAGCACTGCCTGCGACCGGAGAGCCCTGTAGAGGGAACTGAGGTCAGCAGCACATACCATTGCTTGTGCTTTGGCACAAAATTGCAACATTGCACTAAATACCATTAATTAATTAATGCTGAATACCATTGTAAGAAGCTTGATGAATACTGGGAGAACGTTCTTTGGCTCAGTTGGAGTTCAACATGTTTGGCATGAACCTAGCCCAGCTAACTACAGGGAGTGTATCGTCCTGACAGTGAAGCATGGAGGTGGAAGTATGATGATATGGGGCCGCATGAGAGCAAGAGGTGTTGAGGAGACGACATTTACGAATGACAGCGGGTGTTTGGTTCCTTCCCACCGTTGCTGACCGCTTGCTCAGAGGGAGTTCAAAGGCAACTTTGGATTGTTGGGTTCTCTGTTTAAATTTGTAAGGTCTATACCTTACTATGTTAAGCGCTGTGAGATGACACATGTTGTAAACTGCGCCATACAAATAAAATAGAATTGAATTGAATTATATTGAATGCCTGTAAATATACCAAAATACTGGCAGACAAGATGAATCCCAGTCTGCAGAAACTCAACAGAAGAGGATTTATGGAGGCGCTATGACCGGGACAGGTATGTTGCCTGACCTGAATCCAATAGGTCACCTTTCAAGGTGTTTTAAAAAGAAAGGCAGAAGCACAACACGTCCAGCAACGAGGAACTGGAGAGAAAAAAGTCTAGTTAGTCTGAAGCGGTAGTCACTGTCAGGTGAAACTATTTTGAATCATTTGACCTTCAGGTGATATTGCACAGGGATGTGCTCACTACCGTTCTGTGTGTCGGTGGGCCCACTTTTCCCTTTTTATACATCCACTGTCACGTCTGCACGTCTGAAGCTGCCACTATTAACAGACGACACCATCCCAACGCTGGACAAGTAAATTGTCTTTCTCTGTTTGCAGTGGTTGAAGGTTTGGCTCTGCTTGACTTGGGAGTTTCACCGTACTCTGGAGATGTTTTCCATGAGGTGAGCGCTCCACACACACACACACACACACACACACACACACACACACACGCTGGGAGATCATCTGAAATCTGCTATACTTTCATGTAAACCTGGAATTAATGTAAAGAAAACATCAGAAACATTTAATGACTTGTAAACTGGAGAAGAAACATTTCAGATTTGCAGCAGTCAGACTGAAGCAGATGAGCAGCATTGTTTGTCCTGTTACCTTGACTTGTGTTCTTTCAAGCAGCATTCAAAGGACGTTCAGGTGGATTTGATGAACTAATCTGAGGCTTGTTGAACAATTCAACCTGCTGCATGTGTTTACTCATTGTAAATATGACTGTGCCCCCAGTTACCTGCAGAACAGTTCCCATTAACACTCCCACTGTAATAGTGTGAAATACGGCACCAGTTGAAAATGCCAGTAATCAGATTGTTATCCTGAGCAAACAGGGGCTCTCTAAGCCTCAAATCACGGCTGGACTGAACACTCCAAACTTTGGATTCAGACTTCCAGAGTTTCATTCATAACACATCTAAGGAACCGATGATGTCATCTTGCAGGGAGGGACTTGGCAAGTCATCGTTCTTCCTCAGAACCAGTTTCTGGTTCTGACATGTATGACTGAGTTGCTCTAATGTTACGCCTTGCCAGTGTGTTGTGTAGAGTAGCTTTACAGTGTTTGAGCAGAGCTGTAGGTGAGCTGGTGTGCTCGAGCTTCACTGAGGGGTGTTTGGTCTGCTCACTCTAGAGGAGCCTTAGCGTTACATGTAAGCATTTAAAGGCAGGAAGGGATCATTTTCATGATGCAAACTTCTTTGTAATGTTGATACACATTTAGCCAGTGACCAGGGAGGGTCAGTGAAGTCTTGCGAGTCTTGACTTTCATTAGATATTTTCCCCACATTGTACCCTACCCTACTGTAAATGTGTGATTCTGCTCTGATTGCAAACGTTTTTTTTATTGTTCTCTTCAGACTCCGCTCATCATTTACCTCTTCCACTTTTTGGTGGACTATGCAGAGATCACATTTATGGTGAGTACAGTCAAAAAACATTTTTCGAAATACCAATAAACAGAATATGTTCAGTACGATCCACAGTGAATACAAGCTACATTGATGCTGCTATGTTTTGAAAAGAAAATATACAGATTTTTTCTTTTTTTTTTTATAAATTGTTCCTGTGTCCTCAGTTGGCGGATGTGATCACTGCTGTGGCTCTCTACATGGCAGTGAAGGAATACAACAAACAAGTGGTAAGTAAAGCAGCAAAATGTCCAAAGAAAATCATTTGAAGTAGATATTTTATGATAAGAGTTGTAATGATTATTCAATTAGTTGTCCAATCTCACATTAACCCCCCAATGTTTTGGTAGTCAAATGATCAGTTTGAGTGATTTCTAGAAGAAAAAAAGTGTAAATCCTGATCTCAGCTCCTGAAATTTCTAGATTCAAGATTCAAGATAAGCTTTATTTGTCACATGCACATTTATACACGGCACAATGTGCAGTGAAATGTGTTTTGTACCAGCATCCAGTTTCAATAAAAAGAAAAATAGAGAAAAATTAATTTAAAAAAATAAAAATAATGAAGTAAAAATAAGTGTTCAAGAAATATATATACTTTATGTATGTATACATATACATACACATAAATAAATCAAATAAATAAATCAAATGGAACACTGTTATGGTGTGAAATTGAATGTTTTGTTCCCTTCTGTGACCCTAAACTAAATGTCTCTGGTTTGTGGGAGAAAAAAACAAGACGTTTAAGATTTGGGCTTTGAGATACACTAATTGACATTTTTCACCATTTTCTGGAAACAAATCATTTAATGGAGAAAATAATAATGAACATGTTTTAACAATGGAAATAACTGGCAGCTGTGGCCAGATGTGATATTAAGTAGAGATTTGTTGTTTTACTAAAATCAGGTTGTGATGAAATACGAATTGTTGTGTAACGACCTTCACTCCTTTCTTCACACATGTGACCAGACATGACAGATATTGATTTCAAAATTACTTTGTGTGAAACATCTTTTATTAGTAGTAATTGGGAGTAAATACGACTCTGACATGTACTGACCTGTCATTGATGCTGTTTCAGTTCAGAAAGCAGAAGTTTGCCTTGGAGGCGGACCGCTATCCTCTGGACTGTCTGGAGCTCATCAGAAGCCCCAAAGAAATGTACTACGTCCCCCTGAAAGTAGCCATGTTGTAAGTACAGTCAGCCTCCGACACTGTACATGCAGAGTTGGTTTGCATTGAAGCTATTTAAATCTGGAATCTGCTGCACAGAACACCTCCAGTTTTCTCCATAAGTCTTCTCCTGGATGAGGGATTTATTTAAGGTTGTTGCACCAAAACACTTATAAGCTTATCATCAATACGGAAAACTGTTCAGACATTTACTGCATTTAAAGGGAGTTTTCAGCAGTAATACAGTTTACATGCAGATAGTTTGATAACTTGCACACTTTTGACTCCAGAGGGCTGCACTACGAAGTAAGACTGAAGTGTTAGCAGGTGTGTTGAGTTCAAAGTCAAGAGTTTTCATTGTCATGAAGGTGGAACTGATGCTAACCTGCTCCAGAGGAGGTTCTGTTCAGAGTTTGGGCTTTAAATTGTCTGTAAGCAGCATTTCCCTTTCACCAGTTCTTTTACTGTCGATGCTCTGTGCACGCTTTAAAGCGGAGAGAATATGTCATATATCTGCAACCCTGTCAAGCTGTACATCAGTAATCCTACTGAACAAAGCAGTTACAACAGGCACACTGTATGCATTGCGTTGCCATGGGGACCTACATGTATGTAGTAGGTGGTGCACAAAATGCGTAAATATGTTTTGGTCCTGATTTGCAGCCAATATCATGTTTAAATTTATTAGGTTTAACGTTTAGGAGCTCTATTGTGCAGCTTTCATGTTCGAGAAAAGCAGCTGCATTGAGAGTGCACTGAGTAGTCAAATATTAAATATATAATAATATATTTTATAAGTTTTCTCCAGCATGCCTCTCTGTCATAATTTGCAGTAACAGTGCTTTTTGCCGGAACACATTTGTATGCTTGCTCTTCATTATAACAACTGGCAACTGAAGTAGGCAGCACACACTCAGTCCATTTTTGCGTAAAAGAAAAGTCAAACGATTCATCAAACATCCCCGTTTATGTGAGTGTGTCCAGAACCTGGTGAAGAAAACCTGAGTGAACAAAGACAGTTGTGCTGCCCATTATCTCTGATCGAGGTTAGCCAGCTAACACAAAGAAAGCCTGGATATGTTGAACTTGCTTCGTAGCTCTCTGTTGTTATTGTCTCACAAAGTTGGTAGAAAGTTTAAACAAATGATAGAAGAAAAGAAAAACTGGTCAGAGAAGGGAAAGAATAAACTTATGGAGGAATGCTATAATCTGAAAATAAAGGGAGAAAGAAAAGAGCAATTGTGGACGGTGTTTGCAACAAGAATTCATTGTTTGTTGTTTTATCGCCATACAGTTGGCCGTGTTCAGATGGAGTCAGAGGTTCTCTTTCCTTGTTTTGGTTCTTTTGTGCAGCAGTCGAGCTAACTTTAAGGGATTTCTTAAACTTCATACCAAGATAAAGAGAAGACCTTAAATATTTTTTAGGGTAATATTAAGGAGAAGACTTAAGGGTATTTTATGCAACTGATTTATTAAAAAAAAAACAAAAAAAAAACCTTAACTCAGACTTTTGATTTTGAGCAGCTGCCTCTCGAGTTGCAGCCTAATAATCTGCTGTCGCCTTCTCTCTCAGTTACCTGTTGAACCCGTTCACCATCTTGTCCTGTGTCGCCAAGTCAACCTGCGGCCTGAACAACACTGTCATCGGCCTGTTCGTCTTCTCTACGATAAAGGGTAAACCTCAGATCCTTGTCTCCCCTTTCTGTCTGACCAGGATCTGACTGTGTTGTGTTCTCTGACCTATTTAGAAATTCACTGCAGGGTTTACTGCAGGACTGGATTCTAGTAATTAGCTACAAAACCGGCCGACTCTTCTGCTCTCGATTGATTTTGTTTGAGTAAAGCTTTGCTTGTGTTTCAGGAAACGTCCTGCTGAGTGCCATATTTCTGTGCCTGGCCACCTATCAGTCCATCTATCCCCTGACTCTGTGCGCTCCAGCGATGCTGTATCTGATGCAGGTATGCGGCACTCGAATGGACACATGCATTAAAAGGGCATGTCGTGGTCTGTTTCACCGTCTTGAGTAGGGATGTAATGATTAAACATTAAACGATTTATTACCTTTAAAAATGTATCTGATTAAAAATATATTAACCTTTAAGGCAGAAAATGGAGTACTCATGTATTGTAGATTAGCTGCAGTAGCTGGATGTTCCAGCAGAGGAAGCCTTTTACATTTTAATGAGATGAAAACTACAGCGTGTTTTCTGTGTTTAACGGTGGAGCGACTCGAGGAGGCCATCACTTAGACTATGGGGAGTTATGTGTTGGCACCATAGACTGTATAAAAGATGGACGTAGCTACCATGACGTCACCCGTTGGTTGCTGCACTAAGAAAATGAAGCCAGGGTTTTGCTACTTCCTGGTTGACATCTTGGATTTTTGGAGCCAGTGACGCAAAAATCGTCGGAGGGGGGCGGAGCCATAGGAGCAGCGATTGGTCAGACGGATTGAGAGGCGGGCCCTCTCTGCCCCGCCCACATTTACCGCCTTCTGCTCGCTTCGTCTGAATCGTCGCTGCCGACTGTCAATCAAGCCAGCCACGCCAATTGCCCCGCAAAACGTTGACGATTTTTTTAAAATTCTGTATTGATTTATTTTCAGATTGGCCACCTGATCTCTAAATTCGACTATGAAAACCAATAAGAACAAAATCCTGAGCTGTAGGAATGCAGTATTTCGTGATCTGTGATCACTTCTTTTCCAATTCAAGTCTATGGGAGCCAGGGCTTTTTGGAGCCAGCAGCTGGTGGACATAGTGTTTTGACATTTCCGGGTTGGCTTCATTTTTCAGGGCCGGTTGCTACGTCCATCTTTTATACAGTCTATGGTTGGCAAGCAAAGGGCATTGTGAGGGTTTTGATAGCAACGGGCACCATGACAGAGGCTGTTGTGGTGAATAATGTTCACGAGAAGAGATAGTCTCTTATATTTGACGATAAGCTAAAGTCTGCTAGGACTGTGTTCCTACAGCTGAATGGCATCCAGCTGTCAGCATATAGAATGATCTCCACTGTACTCCATATGTGTTCCATAGACTTAACAATTAATCAGTTATTGACTGATAACACCGTCGACTATTGGTTTGGAAAATAGCTCATAATTTGCATCCCTGGTCTTCATTTATTGCTGTCCTTTCATTTTTCTGCTTTTTTTCCACCTACTTCTCACTGCCCTTTTTGTAACCTTCACTCACATTTTTAGTCACTCTCGCCTAGTTTTTCAGGATAAAGTCCTGCCCCTCGACTGAAACAGCACAACCACAGCTACAAGTAGAGAGAACTCAAAAATGTCTTCGTATTACACAGTTATAACGCCATAAACCATAAAAAAATAAAGTTAAATTCTTTGATTAATTTCACAAAAATTGTGTACAAGATTTTTTTCAAGTACTGTTTTTAAGTACTAAGAAAAACATGGTGACTGTACTTAATATGGATAATTTACTACTCATATTTTTATTCTGTTTTCATGTTTGGCTCCTGTCTGAGTAAACACAGCCTGCTGAATCACTAATGACATCTCCGTTGCGTGGAGGGAACGTGCAGAGAATGTTTTTGTCCAGTTAGTGTAAATGGTTTATTTGTGGAGACATGTAACATAAACACATTTTCCAATGGAACAGCATGAACCAGATGACGAACTTCAGAAATGTCAGAAAGTTGAAAATCTGACGAGTCTTTCTGTTCTCAGAGTTTCTGGCTCTGATAGACGGTGTCATTTGAGAATTTTTTTTATGCATTTCAAACCCAATTGCAGGTGTTGGGATCCAGAGGGAAACTATTTGAGTCTACGTTCTTCTTCTTATGCCTTTTATTTAATTCTTAATCTTTCCATGATTCTGTTCCTCCTCCTCCAGCGTCAGTACATCCCGGTGAATATTCGGCGAGCCAGCTTCTGGTGGTTCATCGTGCAGTATCTCTTCATGTACCTCGGCAGCCTGTTTGTCCTCATCTGTCTCTCGTTTTTCCTTCTCGGCTCCTGGGACTACATGCCGTCCGTCTACGGCTTCATGTGAGTGGAGAAAAGACGGCCAAGGCCCTGCTGAGTCTAAGTAGCACTGTGGAGCAGCTTCAGTTAGTTTGTCTCATAAATGAATGTTTCTCCCAGTCAGAGCTGTCATTTTCTGAAAATGTCAAGTCTGCAGTCTCTTTGAAAGGCTTGTTAGAAGCTAAGATGGTGCTCAGTGGTTGCAGCTTCATGGAAGCAGGATTTTAAAACTCTGGAAATTGATCATAGCAGCCTAACGTCTCTGTCAAAAAATATAACATTATTAGTTACAGAATGAATGCTGTGAATCTTTTATTATTACTCTTAAAAGTCTGCCAGAGAACGTCCTGTTCACAGGTCTCAAATAATCAATGTGTTTATGCATAAAACCTGGAATGTGATCCAGTCTAGATCTCAGTCTGCTTTCTCTCCCTTCAGTCTCTCCGTTCCAGACTTAACCCCGAACATCGGCCTCTTCTGGTACTTCTTCGCCGAGATGTTTGAACATTTCCGCCTCTTCTTCCTCTGCGTCTTCCAGATCAATGTTTTCTTCTACACCATCCCCCTGTCCATCAAACTCAAGTAAGCCCCCCACCTCACTCTCACCCCGTCTGTCCTCCCGAGTTAATCTGTCTTCTGTTTATTCTGCAACCCTAAATCTTAGTCAGCCGCGTCATGCTGCTCTGTTTGTTTGTGTCTGTGCTGCAGGGAGCATCCTGTGTTCCTGATCTTCATGCAGTTAGCTGTGATCTCCATCTTTAAGTCTTACCCCACAGTGGGAGACATCGCGCTCTACATGGCCTTCCTCCCTGTCTGGAGTCACCTACACAGATGTGAGTATAAAAAACAACAAATACATCAGAGGGCTGTACACGGAGGTCAGATTAGTGGGTTATCGAGGTATCTGGAGCTTAAAGTCAGAGTTTTAGTGTCTCGAAGGTGGCTCTCTTTTAACCTGCTGGATCGCCATGGTAACTGATGCTGTGGAGCTAGCCTGGTGTGGAGCAGGTTATGTTCAGAGTTTCGGATTTAAATCAGCTGGAAGAAGCTTCTGCCTTTAACCAGATTGTTTCGTGACCATTCTTTATGAGCAATACAGATTCTCAGCTGAGGGAATGTGTTTTATCTGTAAACATGCTGATTTGTACGTTACTAATATCACTGAATGAAGCCGTGCAGTTACAATATCACACACTGTAAATATCAGGTTGCCATGGGAACCTGACATGATCAGTTGGTGATGCAGAGATCACATAAATGTGTTTTTATTTTTGATCCTGATTCGCTGTCAAGTCCGTTTAAACTGCTGGTACTGCAGCTGATAGAACACACATTAGAACATGGATTATTCTACTGGTGTTTATTACAGAGAATATTCAATCAAGAACATTATTTTCTCTTTGATTTGGCCAAAAATTCAAGTGATATCCTGCATTATGGGACAGTGTCTGACCTAAGTGCACTTCAGTACAATATTTTTGAGTATATGATGTTTAAAGTTGAACAGTTTTTATGTGCAGCTCTCTCTCAGTTAGAAATAAGAAGCTGCATTGATCAGTAAAATACATATACATACAGTTATATATTCCTCATTGTTCTCCATTAAAACAACCTGCTGACTGAAGCACACGATTGCTTCATTCATCAAACGTCTCCTTCTATGGTGGTCAACTGACATCATCGTTCCTGCCGGGACGGAGAGCAGTTCTGTCCACTTCTTCCTGTGCCAGTGTGAAGTTAACCTCTTCTCCTTGTCCTGCTTTAAAAATTAACGAAGGATCTTATTTTAAATGGCTTTTTGAGGTGTTTTTTGTTTGTTTGTTCTTACTGAAATTATCTACCGACTGTGGGTCATAACACAAAACAAGCTGAAATACTGACTGTAGCTGCTGTTAGAAAAGATTAATTATCATGTGACTTTTGTTTTTACTCTACAAACATTCAAACCGAACTGAACTGTGACATCTGTATTTGAATCGGAGCTTCAGTGCTTGTTTTGGTTTTTCTTCTCGTCCAGTCTTGAGGAACATTTTCCTGGTGTCCTGCGTCCTGCTGGCCTGCTCCGCTCTGTTCCCCGTCCTCTGGCACCTCTGGATCTACGCCGGCAGCGCCAACTCCAACTTCTACTACGCCATAACTCTGCTGTTCAACGTGGCGCAGGTACCGAAGTCAGAGACAGTTTATTAATTGAGATAATAAAATGTGATGATGGCTGGGTTCCATTTAGCTGCTTCAGTTTTAGGACGGTGTTGTTTTTCTCTCACCAAGTATTTATTAGTGTCCTGGTATTTGTTTCCTCTCAGATCCTGCTCGTGTCGGATTATTTCTACGCCTTCTTGAGGAGGGAACACCACCTCACCTACGGACTGTATCTGAAGAGGAAGGACGGCTCCGAGGCGACGCTCGTTCTGAAGTAAAACGCCCCCATCCAGCCCCTGCAGGGAGGAGGAAACTGCTCGAGGGGACCTTTATCCTCAGAGGGAACAAACGCAAAGTGAGGAGGATGAAACACTCTCGGATCCTCGGACCGATCAAAAGCACACATGCAGACAGTGTGCACGGTACAACGTCATATGCAAACAACAGAACTGCAACAAACTACATGACTGACACATGTGGGATGTAGACACGTGGCTCCGTCCCATCTGGAGTGCTCTTATTTTGAAGCCTCACTCCACCTGGAACCTACCTGTGAGAGTGGCTTTGATTTTGAAGATTTCTTCCTCCTATCAGCCACCCTGGATTGATTTTATTTTGTTTATCCTGCAGTTCCTGCTTTTGTTATGAAGAACCAACTCCAGCGCAGAAGAAAACTGGGGTGGGCTTTTATTTTGAAGCCTTGCGTAAACACCAAAAACAGTTCCGAAAATGTGGGAGTCTGCTGCTGATTTGGTATTTCCTGATACCCCCGCTTGTCCACACATCCCATTTTGTGTTGTTTTATGTTTACCTGCTAACATTTGTGTTAACACTGGTCTGATTCGTGGTGGGAAAAGCAAGAAGAAGACCTGGACGTTTTCTCTTTCTCACTGCTTTCTATTTTCTTTCTAATTTGCAAGTCCCACATTATCAGTGTTGCATCTCACATTAAGTAGAAACCAGTCAGACCTCATACCTGGTACAAATGTAACACTACCAGAGATTGTGATCTTTTCAGCTGCCTAGAAACTGAAGTCACCAAAACATGAGATACTCATCTTAATAACTAACAAATCTTACTGCTTAACAGAGAGGAGAGCAAAGATAACGGTGAATGTGTTTTAACAACTGTAGTGCTCAAGTTCAGTATCTGTGGAGAGCAGAAGCAGATAAATATTACCATTATTATTATTAACGGCCAAATTAAAGTTGCCCTGCAGGGATGAAGTCCCATTTAGTCCCATAAAATCCACCAAAAATTATTAGTAATGATGAAAGTTTTATAGTTTCCTCTATTTATTGCATGTAATCAATGAATTCTTGGTTAAATCTACATCATTTTTACATTTATAATGAATCATTCTCATTGCACGCGCCTTGAGGGGGTATTTTATGACATGAGGCGAAGCAACAACTGAAAGACTCGGACTAGTTTCGAATTTTTAGGTAATATTCGCCCTCTTGGTGAGAATGAAACTCTGATGTCTGTGTGGTAAATATAACGCTACAGCCAGGAGATTAGCTTAGCATACAGGCTGGAAACGCAGCCAAGAAACAGTCACGCGCAAAACCATTAATACACAAACGCATCTGTGTGGATTAAACCAATTAGTTCCAATGTGTTTATGCTGATTTTTAGAGGAGCTGGTAGGTAGATTGAAGTCTGTTTGCCCCTGTTTCCTGACTTTATGCTAAGCTAAGCTAACCATCTCCTTAACAGTCACCGCATAGATAACTTTCCAACACAAAGAAAGTTTGTGTTTCTCAACTTCAAAGCTTATTAGACTCTCAGCGTGTCCAAAATCCACTCTGCACACTAATTCTGAAATGTTTACTCCATGCTAACATCATAATGTGCTGTTTTAGCTGTAAGCGTATAAAAATGAACACGTTTTTAAATTTTATACTAACTAATTCAACACGTGCAGACCTTTTCCACGTGGAAAAGGTTTGAAAGCAGTGGTGTAATTAACAAAAGTTCCATGAAGTGTCCCGGTCAGCCATAACTGTGAACCAGCGTAAACAGAAGCAGGACGCCGGTGCTCTCCCTGCCGAGACGAATCAAGTCATCTGCCCTACATAAACGGTTGCAGCAACACAGCTACATTATCATTCATTTGGAGTCGTGATCGTGCCGACCCAGTTTTTCCTCCAACGTTTGCTCCCTTTTAGCTCCATTTTTGGTCTCCACCAGTTGCTAAATCCTCCACTCTGTGCACTGGTTGGTGAAACGAGCTGCTGAAAGAGACACAGAGGGTGAAATAGAACAGTGACGTTGTAGCTGAACATCTGAACAATGAGCTGAATCGCACGATAACCGAGAGGAGCTGACAGATCTCTGAAGATTTATCCCTCCAAGCAAACTTTCACATTGTTGCCTCGTACGCTGGTATTGCAAACGATTATAAGGGAAAGCAAAATATCTTTCCTCACTGATAATTTGTTTTGTTCTCAAATGTCTATATATGTCCAGTAGCAGCAAGATTCAACCACACCGACTCGAAATACATTCAATATTTCCAGTGTGAACTCACTACACTCGAACATCAACTGTTAGACTAACTGTATCCTAATTTGGTTATTGATTGAGCAGGGGGGGTTTTTAAAACAGGAAAAGTCAAGATTCTGTGATTTCAGCCTCTTAAATTTGAATGTTTTCTTGTTCCTTTACTCTGCTATGACAGTAAACTGAATATCTGTGGTTGGTGGACAAATCAAGACATTTGAGGACATTGAGAAATGCTATTTTCTGACATTTTATAGACCGAACAACTAATGCATTAATCCAGAAAGTAAACAATTGATGAATTGATCATGAAAATAATTGTTAGTTGCAGCGCTGCTCAGAAACAGTGTGTATTGTGGAACTGGGGCATGAAATCACTCATGTTTTTCTTCTTTTAGCGTTTGATTTTTCCATCCTCCTTAATTAGGAAACCAGAAAAGCTGTAAAGTGTAATTTCATCGTGACATGCCAACAGAACAATTCTGCCTTCAGTAGAAGTCACTGAGCGTGCACCTACTCACAGAGGACTGAGTTCACAATCTTAAAAAAGCCTTAAACAGCCTCTGAAGTGTCGACACAGGACTGAAAGATGAACTTTTAAAAAATATTTCACTTTATATTCTGAATTTAGAAGATTAAAAAAATTTCACGTTATGGTTTTAGTTATTTTCAGATGTGAAGGAATGAAAAGTTTCTAACTGTAACAAACTGGTTTTCATGTGAAATGAAGTCAGAAAGATAACTCTGCTTATTGTCCCATGACATGAAAATATTAAGACAACATAAAACAAGTCTGTTATTAAATTCCTCACCTTTAGGCAGAAACAGCGGCCATTTTGATACCAATGAGTGAGAAATAATTTGTGATGTTTATTTATTTGCTGCACTGAAAACTTTGCAAAGAGATTTAAATTTTTTTTCCCTTTTTTTTATTATTTGAGAAGAAGGAGGAGCTCTTGAGTTCTTTTGATACTGTTGTGTATATATTCATGTGTTTAGTTTGATTCAGGGTTTGAAAGGGCTGATGTTATGTTTGATGAATGAGTGAACATGTCATAAATGTTGATTATTAAACCTGCGGTGTTGGTTTACACGCGTCTGTTTTTAATTGTTGATTCTGATGTGCAACATGTTCTTTACTCTTTCATGTCACATCGTCAGGTTTAAAGTTAGATGTCACATTTTACACCAAAATTAGATTTCCATTTTTTTGAAAAACCTCATAAATTAAAAATAAAATAGTTCAATCTTTAAACCATTTTTTTAAAACGCGAGTGGACAGCCATTCAAGTAACCCCTGCCACACACAATCAGATACATACAGTTGTGAACAAAAGTTTACTTGGACTTGTAAAGATGATGTACATCATGGCAGGGTTGAGTTTCCAGTGACTCCTATCATGTTTTCTGTGTTGGAATCATTTACACCCATGCGTCTTTGTTCCAAAAAAAAAAACAATCATGCATTTTGGTTCTTTCACAGATTTATTATAGGTGTAAATATAACAGCAGTGCTAATATTTAGTAAAATGTCCCTTGGCCATTTTCACATTTTACTTTCAGTAGCCATCAACAAGGGCTGCAAGGTGGCGCAGTTGGTAGCACTGTTACCTCGCAGCAAGGTGGCCGGTTCGCATCCCGGTGGGGGCAACGGGATCTTTCTGCGTGGAGTTTCCATGTACTCCCCGTGTAGCGTGGGTTCTCTCCAGGTTCTCCGGCTTCCTCCCACACAGTCCAAAAACATGCTGAGGTTAATTGGTGATTCTAAATTTTCTGTAGGTG